TCTGAACAAAGTATATATATATATACATTTTTAATTCTTGCCATGTTTATTCTATCATTATTATTGAATCCACATAGACACTGTTTAGCTAAGATGAAAGTTCACCAGCCAATGTAAACACCTGGGGTTAAAAAACAGTCCATTTAGTCACAAACTAATACACATTTACTAGACAGTGGTAATTTATTAAAGCATAGTTATTTTGAAATTGCAGTATCTCTCTCCTCCCTCTCTCTCTCTCTCTCTCTCTCTCTCTCTCTCTCTCTCTCTCTCTCTCTCTCTCTCTCTCTCTCTCTTACCACTCCTCCTGTCTCTCATGTCAATGTAATTTCAATATTAATTTTAATAATTTATTTTAAATTATCCATGAAAATGATCTGTATTAATGAGTCCTTCTCTGCATATCAAATTTGTCTTGGCTCATCCTGTCTCACAAATTTTCAGCCAAAATCTTCATGTTATTGTTGATAAAGATAAATCAAATGAAAATGAACTATGTGGTGTTGTAGAAATGTAATGTCACTTGAGTAGCCAGATTTCTTTAGTATGAGCTCATCAAACCCGAAATAAGTGACTTTTGGATCAATTCATTTTTAATTGCTTGGTACTGCAAGAGGTAAAATTACGTTTTCTTTATGTGTATTTTTATTTCCCACCAATTATTGTTCCAGTTTAAATGAATAATTATATTCTTCGGTTATATTATTGATCTGTTGCTTAGATGTGAATTTATTTATGTAAGCAAAATAATAAACAGCTGGAAATTTTCATTATGTTCCAAGACTAAAATTGCATTAAAAACAGTGAAATTGTTTTCCTGTATGATGTATACCGGTCCTTCGGCATAGAAGGATCTACGAGACAACATGGAGAAAGAACTGACCTGCAAACTAAACAAACTATTAGAAAACAATCAAGCTGTTCTCTTGTGGATCCCGATTTACTGCGGTTTAAAAGGAAATAAATTGGCGGACATACTTGCAAAAAAAAAAAAAAAAATGAACAAAGGAAAAACAACTCACTTATGTTGCCATTACCAGAAATCAAAACACTTATCAAGGGAACATGCAAGGAATTGTGGACAGAACAAACCTAGAGTAAACATCCACAAGCCCCATCAGCAGACTGAACAGAAAACAACATACATCAATTTTCTGTATAAAACTTGACACTGCAGGCTCAGCTAAAAAATAGACTGTACAGTCCCCACAGTGTGCATATCAAACGGGACCACAACCACGCTGAGCACATTCTGCAGGTTTGTCACTCAACCTTCAGCTACAAAAAGAAACCTGGCCTCCAGAGCAAAGCTTTTGGGAACCATGAAGGACCTACAGCTGACATGCGAATTCATTGAGACAGCCAACTTGACAGCCTGACATGAGCACACGCAACTGAGCGCAAAGAAAAAGAAATGCCATTGCCTGCTGCAGTTTATAAATCCGATTTTTTATTTTTTTTTTTTGTAAACAGTATAGAATATTTACTGGTGCAGTTGAATGTGTGGAAAATCTATGAGTACCCCATCATCATCATCATCATGTGATCTACCAACTGACGTAGGCGCTCATGCATCTCCACAGATCACGATCCCTGGTTGCCTCTTGATGATTTCCCTCCATGGCATCGTTTCAGCCCATCCAGCATTTATGATTACCTACTTGTTTCAAATCAGAAGAGTCTGAAATACAAATTTTGATACATAAATTTGCACTGAAAATGATCCTAGAAAAATGTGTGTGTGTGCGCGTGCGTGTGTGTGTATGTTTGTTTGTTTGTTTGTTTTATCTGAATGTGCCTTAGCAATGGGTGTAGAGAATCGTGCTTCTCATAATCTTGCCTGATTTAGTAAAATTCTGGAATTCTCTAATGAGGAAATGTTTCGCTTGCCAAAAAAAAAAAAAAATGCTCCTAAAATGTTTCTCATTTTCCTCATATCTCTGTCATACTTTAGCTCTCTATAATCCTGCAACTTAAGTTCTTCTTGTTTGCCTTGAGTATCCCATTATACATGCGTTATATAAAAACACTTAAGATAACAAATCTTATTACAACGTAAACTTTTCAAAATCTGAAAACTGTATTTCGATTGCTAGAATGCAAGTGTGTATACAAGATCTGAATATCAAGGACTATTAGCTGGTAAACAGCATCTTTTCTCTGAAGCTGGACATTTTTTACTTCTTCTTCTTCTTCTTCGCGTTCACCAGCTGTACACTCTGGTGTAAAGTTCTGGTTGTTCGTCCACTTCTGGACAGCAGTCCTGCTCCAGAACCTGAGTGTTGCGTGTGCATCAGTTTTACAGATCTGATTCAATTGAATGTAGACTGCTGGTTCCTTGCCTCTCAGGCAGATGCACTCCGACTTCAAAGGAAGCTCCCCAGTTAGTCGACTCTTACGACATGCTTTTGGGGAGGCAGTGGGTCTATTCTTGTTTTCCACACAATAGGGCCCCGGAACCCACATGGGTGTTTTTTTTTACTATATCAAGCACCATGGTGGATTGGAAAAATTATTAACAGAAGGCTCAGTACATCAAGCACCATGGTGGATTGGAAAAATTATTACCAGAAGGCTCAGTACAAAGGAAGGAGGAGTAGGGGCCGACCAGCACAAACATGAGAGCAGGATATAAGTGACTTCTTTGGTATAGAAGTTCACGAAACGGAAGAGCTCGTGACCGTGATAAAAGCTACTTTCTGAGAAGGATCTGTTATATGGTGATGACAACGATGAGTGTGTGGTTCAAGATGCCAAAGAGCCAATGCACTTATATACCAATTGACCTCATTATTAAGGCATCCAAATATAAGCATGACCACAAAGAAACATAGCATAAACAACATTTTCATACTAACACTGTGCTTCCAGTGTCAAACTTGGGAGAACAGCTGGCCGAACGGTTAGAACGCTAGGCTTTAATTAATTACGTTTGTCTCTAGTGTTACATCTGCTTGATCTAATGTTGGTGTCTTCAATATTTTAGTCTTTTTGTAACTTATTTGAAGAACACTATAAGGATTGATATATCGATTGTTTCTACCTTCGTCTTAACCTTCTGCTGCCCTCTATTTTGCCTATTTTTAAAACATATTTTTTCCCCTTGGGCATTTCTGTTTAAACCGCTGTATCCTCCACCGACTTGCCGGGCCTGTCGCGAATTCATCTTCAACTGGACACCTACACTAAATTATAAATTTACATATTTAACACACTTTCCCAGGAATAAACGCATCTTTTAGTTCAATTTTTCGGCGAATCGTTGTTTACGCCGTGTGTGCAAACGATTCATATTGGACGCACTTTTTGAACACGTTAAATAAAGCACGCATTGTCTGCTCGTATTCCATGGAACGTCGAACGTTTGGTAATATATGTGTACATATTTCTAATTGTTTTACAGATTTCTTCTTCTTCACGTTAACCAGCTTAAAACAGCGGCTGAAGCTTTCGTTGTTTGTCCACCCCAGAACTTGTCTTTTTTCAAAAATCTGAGTGTTGCGTGCTCACATGTTTTACAGATCTTGATTAGCTGCAATCAGACTGTTGGTTCCTTGCCTCTCCAGCAGATGCATTTAAACTACTAATAATCCCACCCCAACCCCGCATACACACACACATCCCCTAATAATCGACACCTACGACATGCTTGTTGGGGAAGTAGTGGGTCTATTCTTGTTTTTCCTACAATGGGGTACCGGAAGCCACACGGGGACTTTCTGAAGCAGCAGTTCTCAACTTTCACACTACCTACCCTTTAAAACAGTTCTTCGTTTTGTGGCCATAACAATATTTTCATTGCTACTTCATAACTTCAGTGAATATGTGTTTTCCGATGGTCTTTACGACTCTCGGTGAAAGGGTCGTTCGGCCCACAAAAGTGTCACCACCCACTGTTTGAGAGCCTCTCTTTTAAAGCATTTTTAAAAATACACCGTTGTTTAGACGTAACCGCCGACATAGTTACTTATTTAAGTTCCCATTTGCGCAGAAGAAAGCAAACAATGAGCAGGTAGGGCCTCTCGCAGGTCCTATTCATTCATTCATTCATTCATTCATTCATTCATTCATTCATTCATTCATTCATTCATTCATTCATTATACTGTTGTGCCTTTAACGTCGCATTGTACTTGCAGTCTAATCCACAAGTCTGTTGTATCTTGAGCTCAGTATCATGGATGGAATATATTCTAGCAGCTTTGGCCTCTGTCATCAACTTTCGTCTTAGTGTTTCTTTTAGGTATCCTTGCCTCCTTAATCCTTTTATTTCACTTTTTAATCCTATTTGGTGATTGTCTGCTGGTTTATTGTCGTAATTTTCTTTAGAAATTTGTTTTCCTCTGAATTTAACTTTCTTTCCATGTCTTCAATGGCTCTTCCACTTTCACTTGCATATGTTTAAAGTGAAACAGCCAAAGAAGTTTTGAGAGAGGTGGGATGCCTCTCCACAATTTGCAGTCTCTTGCAGCATGTATCAGTTCGTGTGCCGACACACCTCCATGCCATGCAACAAGACTGTCAAGAATTTTCTGTCGTTGTCTTCCTCTATCCCTCCTTCCACAGATCTTTCCAGTGGTCACAACATGTTCTATTTTCCCTCTTCTCAAAACATGGCCGAAAAATGATGATTGTCTCCTTCTGATGTCTGTGGTAAGTTGTCTTCGGACTTCCGCCTCTTTCAAAACCTCTTTGTTGTTCTTTTTGGCTGTCCAAGGTATTCTAAGCATTCTTCTGTAAAACCACATCTCTGAGGCCTCTAGAAATTGTTTGGCCTGCCTACCGATTGTCCGGGATTCACAGCCATATGTTAAAACTGGATGTGTGTAGCTAGCCATAATCCTTTTTCTAACTCTCAATGACAAGGATTAATTACTTTGTAATTAATATGTTACACCTGCACGAATAATGCTGTTGTCCTGCACTGTGCAAGTTAAGATTTAAAAAAAAATTTACCACAGCTGTGACTGACTATTATTTTTTTTTCCCGCCCGATAGCCAGAGCGCCTTTGTTTTGCTCCTGTCGTCTGATTCTGTCAGTGGTGTCATGCCTTGGATTCGTCTGCATGTACTCCATACGTTTCAACGTGGTTGTGGCTATGCCCTGCATCGTGGGGGAGATAGAATCTGTTGACCCGACTGTTCACAGTGGAGTAAAGGGATCCATTTGGCGCCCCACAGAATGTATGGGGAAAACGTACCCAAAATTAATAGTGAGCAACGCAACTGACAGACCGAGACGTGTGGTAAGTGTTTAGACGTTCTTTGTCTGTTTCCGTGTCTAAACAATGTTAGTCACAGAAAGGTGTTCACTAGAAAGTTGTCACCTAATAAACACACACACATGTATGTTTGTGTCTGAAGAAGTTAACATAATAATATTATGATATATATTTAGTTAACTCTTCATCAACATCATCATCGTCATCATCGTCAACATCATCGTCGTCGTCATCATCATCATTGTCAACATCATCATCACCGTGATCGCCATCATCGTCGTCGAGGTCATCATCATCGTCATCATCATCATCATCATCATGTCATTATCGTCAGGATCGTCATTATCTTCATCATCATCATCGTCAACATCATCGTCACCGTGAGCATCAGCATCGTCGTCGAGGATATCATCATCGTCATCGTCATCATGGCATTCATTGTCATGATCGTCATTATCTTCATCATCATCATCGTCATCATCATCATGTCATTATCGTTATGATCGTCATTATCTTTATCATCATCATCATCATCATCATCATCATCATCGTCGTCAACATGTCATGATCGTCATGATCGTCATTATCTTCATCATCATCATCGTCATCATCATCATCATCGTTGTCGTCATCATCGTCGTCATCATCATCATCGTCATCATCATCATCATCATCATCATCATCATCATCATCATCATCATCATGGGAGATTTGTATTCCCATAGACGGTTAGCACCCGACTGATGGTGTGGTCAACATCACACCAATCGCCTTTACTTGTCAGGACATTGCCTGTTATTGTAAGCTGGATTCACCGGTACATCAATTTGAATTAACAAATCATTGCCTCGATGCGGATTTGTGCAAGTCTTTCATACTAGGGGACAAGAGTGTCAAGAAAAGATGTCAACCCGAACAAATAGTGCAACAACTCTGTTTCAGATCATCACACTCATAAATGAAACAGATAATCAGCTGCTATACGATGACTCCCTGTGCGGTTTAGAGCTTACCATTTAGTAGCTGCTATTTGATCCAGTGCATAGTGTTTAGAATGACAGCGTTCTTGAATACTTTTTGACATCTGCTGACGTTGATCAGCTGCTGTAGGCTTTCATTGTTAAAAAAAAAAAAAAAATAACATTCTTCTTCTTCTGCGTTCATCCGAACATGTAATTGCGTTGTGTCCTTCTACAGCATGGCTGGGATATTTGCACCTTTCGGCCAACACATCCGACTTCTGAGGGCATTTGTTGACCGGGTTAGCCTTCCCGGTAAAAATAACATTGATTTTTTAAATATAGTTTAACATCGAGAAACAGATAACTACGTTTAGTGGGAGAAAAAAACAAAACCGAGAGACAATATTTGAGTACACAGACAACTTGAATGGGGGAGGACTACGGGGCAGACCAAACTGACATCGAAGATATACTATACTTCTTCTTCTTCACGTTTACTGGCTGTCAAATACCTTGAAAGTTATGGTTGTTCGTCCACTTCTGAACTGCAGTCGTGTTTCAGAACATGAGTGTTGCGTGTGCATCCGTTTGACAGATCTGACTCATTTGCGTGCAGACTGGTGCTGGTTCCTTGCCTCTTAGGCCTCTCCAACTTCGAAGGAAGGTCCCAGTTAGTCGACTCTTACGACATGCTTTTAGGTAGGCAGTGGGTCTAATTTTTCCTATAAAAAGGCCCCAAAACCCAGACGGGGATTATATACTATACAAACGCTTGGAGGCACTAAATGGAAGAAGACTAGTCACATAGATGAATTTAGGCGGGTGATATATGTAGTATTGGCATCAGACAGAGAGCGGTGTTTTACAGATAGAGCGGTAATAGATCCAAGGGTCGACCACGCAGAATATGGACTGCAGAATTATCAGAGACACTGACAAGTACTTTATGCGAAGCGAACAGAAGAACCCGTTCTAGCGATCTCTTCCTATATTGACGCTGTGAGGCATTCCAGGAGAGTGAGAGGGATAAGAAGAAGAAAAAAATGTAGCCATAAATAAATGAACCCTAAAGCTCAGAATGCGGGGGGGGGGGGAGGTGGGGGTTGGTAGGGTGGAGAACCCAGAGAGAGAGAGAGAGAGAGAGAGAGAGAGAGAGAGAGAGAGAGAGAGAGAGAGAGAGAGAGAGAGAGAGAGAGAGAGAGAGAGAGAGAGAGAGAGAGAGAGAGATCTAATTATTACTGAAATTTTCCACAGCTTTCTGGTTCATTTTACGCATGGGACAAAAAAATCCAAGGTGCAGTGACTGGGTCATTTTTCTGGGGTTATTGGATCAGCCAGATTCCTGGTGGATGGTTATCTGAGAGGCAAGCTACAGTTTTGTTTTATTACTTTTTCTTCTCCGTGTTTATTTTTCTTTGGTGTTGTTTTACGTCCTCCTTTTTTCTTACTACTCTTCCTCCTCCTTCTTTTCCACCTTGTTCTTTTTTCATTTTCTGCTTCTGATTCTGAGAGAACTATAAAAAGAATAGTTTTAAAACTAAATTACACATTTTTTGGTAGTCGACGTGGCCGAGCGGCTAGACGCTCGCCGCGGATCGGAAGGTCGTGGGTTCGCTCCCTGGCGGAGCCGGACTTATTTCAAAAATAACCTTGGCTCCCAGGTCGACCCAACCTTGAGTGGGGACCGGGTGCAGTCCCGGGAAAGTAAAGGCGGCCGGCGTGATGCTGACCGCATCACCCATCTTGTGCCGATTGGTCTATAAAAATATAGGTCTAGTTCTATATGCCCTATACGCCTAAAGGCGTGGAAAAGGGTCCTTTAC